TCGCAAATCCAACACCTACACTGTGAACCAAATGCATATTACACTTTGAGCCACCATGTTGTTCAACCTCTCACCATCCAACATTAAGCCTAGAGCCACCATGCCATCAACCACATCAAGCCAACGCGTCACCACTATTCGAAACCGCAAGCAACCTACAGCAGAACCATGAGCAACCTAACATAGATCCACTCACGCATGCCATAGCTCTTGGTAAAGTGACGTTTTCGCGCTCGAAACCAAAAACATTTTATCAGTTCAGAGAAGAGCATGGAAATGGTTGAGGCGAAGGTGAACAAGTTTTGGGAGAAGTTAGAGATTAGGGTTGAGGATGGAAAGAACGACACAAATGGATAATGAATGCAAAGATATGGAAAGTTTACGGTTTTAATGTATCATAACTAAAATAAATAAAATAAAAAATTACTTTCTATACGAAATATAATTAAAAATGGTATATAAAGTTCTCTTATTTATTACAAAATGTCACTCCATCTACTTTCTATAGCGGTTATAATTAGAATCGATATAAAGAGTTTTCTTATTTATTAAAAAAATGTCACCATAGAAGTTTTTATACTTGTTATAATTACAACCGGTATAAAAAATGTTATCTTATTTACAATTATGACACCGCGTCACTTTTAATATTTAATGGATTATAACTGGTATAAAAGTCACTATAAAATGCACATTTTGCACTAGAGATTGAAAAAAAATCATATTTCGTAGATATCATAAATTAACTTCGGTCATACTCGAGATGGACGTTAGTTTTGGAATAACTATTGCTAATGAGAGTTGAAAGTGAGTTATGACATTTGCAAAGTTTTTGAATCTATTATACATAAGTCTTCCACAAGTAGAGTAAGATGTCTATGTTACGAATAAGCCATAAGGGATAAACAAAAAGGATTGTGTTGGGTTAACATTTGATTCTTTATGTTAATTATTGATTTGAGTTTATCATGATATTTGTATGTGTGGACAGTAAATTTTCACTACCTTACATATTTTTTGGTCCGTGACCAAAAAATGATGCAAACATTGGTGATGAGCCACCGAGACTACAAAGTTTAGTTTTGGAATAAAAAGTTAAATTATATATATATATATATATATATATATATATATATATATATATATATATATATATATATATATATATAACTTTTTCAATCTCTTTGTTATTAAGTATTTAATAATTGAGTTAGTGATACATTATCTACTAATTAAGATCGTTATTCTGGTTAATATAGAATTTTTAAAATTTATATTTATTTATTAAAGTGTAATGTAAATTCTAAAAGAATATAAAAAATTCTAAGACAAAAGTACTAAAATGTAATAAAAGTTCTAGACTATTGTAAAAAATTCTAAGATAGGAAGAAAAAAAATCAAGAACATTCTACATAGGTAAAAATCTAAGACATTCCACATAATTTGATAGCATGTTCTAAATAATCTATGGGTCTATAAATACCCATGTACTCTACCATTTGATGAAAGACAACATCTACCACAATTGAGACACCTACAACCACAATTTCTGTACATTCTATTATCTCTACATTTTCTCTACCCCATCAATTATTCCTTTCACAACCTCAAAATACTAACAGTGGTACCAGAGCTACGTTCGGTCATCTACTGGGCGTAGATAAAAATTTTCAACTACCTTAAACAAAACTATAACTCCATCCTATACTACCTCCAAAATATTTTCTCAACTCATGGCTACTACCAATCAAACATCATCAATTCCAGTATCTATTTTTCAAAGAAGAAAATTATGATTTTTGGAGTGTCAAAATGAAGACATTCTTCTGCTCTAGATTTATGGGAAATCATAGAAGATGGATTCACTATTCCATAAGACACCTTCACTCCTACTGTAGCTTAAAAGAAGGAGTTATAGAAAAACAAAAAGAAAGATTCAAGGGTGTTGATAGAGGAGCTTTAACCTCCTTATATATCTTTGTTTTTTTACTATGAACAAAAGAATGGTTGTATGGTTTCTTACACAACAAATGACATAACAATTGTTTTATCTTTATCTTGTTTGTCCTTAATATATGTATTCATTAATTGTTAAATGAATCATGCTTAAAAGAGATTGAATATCACATTTTGGTTGAAATAATCGATTAAACATAGTATATAATCTATTAGATTTCACCAGATCACTTAATATGCTTAACATAGGCAAATTGTTTTGTAGTAATTGATATATGTATTCATTAATTGTTAAATGAATCATGCTTAAAACAGATTGAATATCACATTCTGGTTGAAATAGTCGATTAAACATAGTATATCATCTGTTAGATTTCACCATATCACACTTAAAATACTTAACAAGGACAAATTGTTTTGTAGTAATCGATTATATAGAGTATATAACCGATTAAAACAAAAAGTTAGACATAATTCGTTTCTTAAGTGAGAGAATCTGTTTAGAATGGCAATTAGATAGACAATTTGGTTAAGTATAGGATTAATTGATTACATAAGTTTCCTAATCGATTAAACCAGTTTACTTTGTCTAATCCTTTGCATTTATAACCTGATCTATTATAACTGTAAATTGAATTAATAATTGGCTTAAGTGATTAAATAATTGATTACATGCTTAGGTTAATATGTTAAAACAAAGGCAAAAGCCTGAACTAAGGTTGTTGAAGGTGGATTGGATGTAGGCTTATGATTAGCCGAACCAGTAGAGATTGTTTATGTTGATCTTTCTCTACTATTTGTCTTTTATTATTGATTAATCACTTTTTGTTTATTGACTTCAATAAAGCCAAAGAAATCATAAAGATTTTAAAGGATCATTTAGAAAAGGCTTAATCCAATTCAACCCCCCTCCCCCTGCCCCCGCCTCTTGCCTTGAGACATAAGGCTTATCTTTTCTTACAAAGGGCTTTAATTTCTCTTCAAGAAGCAGTTGATGACACACTTTTTCCAAGAGGAGTTTCAAGAAAGTGATAAGGTACACAATGTTAAACTTCATTCTCTAAGACGAGAATTTGAATTATTAAGAATGAAAGAATCTAAGACCATTAAAGACTATTGTTATTCTATAATAAAAGAAATAGTTAGTCAGATGAGATCCTATAGGTAAAATATTCTTGACAAAAAAATCGTTGAGAAAATTTTAATTTCTATTCCATAAAAATATGATGATTGAACAAACAAAAGATTTGGCTACATTATCAATAACACAACTAATGTGCTCTCTTGAAGCTTATGAACAAAGATTGAAAAGGCATGAAGAAGACTTAGTCGAAAATGTCTTTCAATCAAAACTAAAATTACTGTCTCAAAATAAAGAATATGAAGGAAATAAAAGTATAGGAGAAATTTCTAGAAATAAAGAAAATTCTAGAAGCTTCGTTATGACTCGTCAAGTAGAATATCCTCTATGTAACATCTGTAAAAAAAACAAGTCACTTGAAAAAATATTGTTGGCATCATGGAAAACCTCAATGTCAGTATTGTAAGAAATTTGGTCACATAAAGAAGTATTGTCGTAATAAAAAGCATTAAGCAAACTTTACGGAAGAACATAATCAGAAGAAACTCTTATTCTATGTCAATCAAGAATCTCCTAATGGATGCAACAATCACATGGAAAAACATGAAAGCATCTTTAAAGACAGTAATAAATTTATCAATGTCAAAGTTCGGCTAGGAAATGACACAAGTCTCAGGGCAAAGGAACTGTCATGGTGGAGACAAAGAAATGAGATTTGGCCACTTCAACACACATGTTGATGGAAGCTACTTCCAGCTGGATTCACGCAAGGAGGAGCTCCAAACCAGAGTAGAACAACCATGGAAATAGGTGTAGTGAAAAATGGAAGATAATGAAGTGTTTGAAGTGTTTAAGGTGAAGAGAAGTGTGTGGATGAGGCGTCACAGCTTAGAGGGCCTTCCTATAGAGGAAGGAAGCTAGAGGAAGGGTGGAGAAGTTGAAAATCAAGAGTGACTCAAGAGCAATAAGGTTGGGAAATGAATTCAGCAGCATATCACTAAGCTCAAAAGTGAGAAAAATACAAAGGAGAAGCCCTCTTATTTATAGGTGAAGAGAGGCCTCATTTCTAATCTAATTTCCCTCCAAAAAGTCAAATATATTTTTACGAAGGCATTACCACAACCAAGATTTGAACTACTACACATTATGTTTGGAGTTACCGAATTTGCATTAAGGCAGAGTATTAAAGTGTAATGCAAATTCTAGAAGAATATAGAAAATCCTAAGATAGAAATACTAAAATATAATAAAAGTTCTAAAATATTGTAGAAAAGCCTAAGATATGACTCTAGTACATTCGACATAAGTTGTGGCTAGCATGTTCTAGAATAATCTATGGGTCAATAAATACCTATATACTCTACAATTTGATGAAAGACAACATATATCTATCACAACTAACAACTACAACCACATTTTCTCTACATTCTACTATATATCTCTACATTTTTTCTATCTCATCAAGTATTCCTTTCACAACCTCAAAATACTAACATTAGTTTCTAATTACATTAAAATTATTAGTTAATCAATTAATGAATTTGTACTTTCATTATAAAAATAAAAATGTAGAATGATATTGTTAGAAAAATTAAATTAATGTTTGTTAGAGTTTTAATTTGTATTCTTGTCTTATTTTTAACAATTGTTTTTCACAATATGAATATGATTAACACCGTGTTACAATATTATTTAGTTTTATGTTATTTATTTATGTTACATGCATACATAATTATTAAAATATTAAGGGATGCATACTTTTTTAAATCATTTGAGGATGACAAAATTTTAAATTTTCAAATTTTAATATAAGTCAATACTTTTAATGTAATAGTAATTAATTTTACTAATATTATTTTAACGAACTTCTGAATATTGATTAAAAACTCAATTTATAAATCGAAATACCTAATAAAAAAAAACAAAGATGTGTGTGTGTGTGTTTGATAACTGAAATATCTATCTAACTAATTAACTTTGTGATGAATATTTTGGCCTTCTCATGAGCTTTTATCAAACAGTTTCTAAATCTAGGTATATCAATGGTAACATTTTGATGAGTCCAATGTAGCCTTTTCTGAGGCCATTTGGCTTGAAAAGCACCTGGGTTCTTGACCACCAAGCTATCAGCACCATATTTCTCGAACAAGCTACTCTCATTCACCTCAATCTTGTACTCCAAGTATTCCACCCCCAAATACTTTGGTGGTTTCTCATAGTAAGTTCTCGAAACCCATTCAAGTCCAATTGGCACCACTTGAACCAACACTGACCCTTCCCTCATGAACAAAAAATTTGTTAACCCTGCTCCATGCACCCCCAACAACACATCACTGCCATGAACCACCCCATACACTTTCTCCATAGGAGTACTTCTTGATGGCTCAAACACATGCACGATAAACCCTAATTCCTCAGCCACCTTTATCACATCTTCTTCGTTCATAATCGCTCGGCTCGCAGTTCTACTGATCAATGTCAAATGAGGCTTCTCGTTTTCTTTTCTGTACATAAATGGGGTACCCGATTTAGTGTATACTTTCCCTAGGAATGCACGGAAATCTATAAGTGTTTTAGGGTTTGGTAGCATTAATTTTGGGTCTATGATCATGGGTCCATGCTTCATCAACCCTAAGGTGGCTGATGGGAAACAATGCACCTTTGATAGGTTGTTTGCGTCGATGATCGGACGGTCGGGACTAAACGCAGATAATAACTCTGCGTATTTTTGAAACCACCACATCTTACCCTCCGTCACCACAAGTGTTACATCTTGATTAGGGTATAGTGAATTGGTGGTGATGAAGAGTGGGATGAAGATTTCGTTTATTTCATGGTAATGGTTTCCGGTGTACCCGGCCGCACTGAATACGAGGGCTGGGGTATGGTGTGTGACATTGCATGATAGCTTGGGTTGGGCTACAATTAGATTGAGGTCTTTCACAAAGGACATTGCTGCTTTGTCACTTTTACGAGGGTAAGGACGGAATTTCAATACTGCATGGGATTTATTCTGTGTGTGAGGATTCACAGCAAAGATTGTTGAGGATGTTGGATCCAAAAGCGTTGAGCCGTTGATTGTGCAAAGATCATATTCTTTATGAGAGTAGTCACAAGTGATTGCAGCAGCACTAACGTTTACATTCCGATCAAGGACCCCTAGAGAAATTGATAGCTTGGTCCTTAATTTCACATTCCATATATTTTTATCTGTGTACAAAAAATTGAATTATTGTTATATAAATAATAGTTTAGACCTTTATTGTATGGTTTCTAAACTTTTTTTTCTAATATAGTGTTGTTTGTCACTTGACCGAATTTATTTATATTTTCATGCCTTTATTATTATTTAATATTTAATTCTTACATTTAATATTATTATTGTTTATTCATAAATTATTTATTAATGTCATGTTTATTTATTTATATTAATTTATGAATAGACAATAGTAATATTAAATATATGAATTAAATATTGATAATGGTAATAAATATATTTTGACAATAGTACACATATATTAATAAGTGAAAATAACGTAATGTAATATGTTGAATATTCTATGTAATATTATAATAATAATAATTAATCTTTTATACTTATAAAATGATATAAAAATTAATTGTGTGCATAATATACTAAATACATTTTTTATTAATTTGGTTTGCGTATAAAATGATAGATTCATATTATTTATAATTTAATGTGAAATAAAGTTATATGTACTTTCATAGATAAAGTAGTATTTGTGAAAAAGTAATGATAATTTAACAAAATATTCTGAAAACTTAATAATCTAATATAATGACTGTTTGAGTACGTAGTTAACATCTTTCTTACTTTTAGCTATCTTAATACAAATAGTTAATGCACTATACTAAAAGAAGACGAAGAAGAAAATTCTATCTTGTACAATAAACTTGGTATATAGCAATCTAATATAATGTAGTATTTGTGGAATAATCTTAATATATTAGAGAAGAAAAATTAAAGCAGTGTAGGATTTGTATATTACCTCCTATGGCAATAATAATCTGGAGAAAAAAGATGAACACCATTGCTCCAAAACACAAAGCAAACATTGACAATCTCGTGCTCTTCAATTCCTCCTCCATTGATTTTGCTGATTAGAAAGCAATGTTTAGCAGAACTTTTATCAATAACACACTGATTTATAACAAAGAAAAAATAACAAATCAAAATTGAAGCTGTTGAAAATAAATTGATTATCTAAATAGAAAATTGAATTCTTTATTTAGTGACATACTCACTTTGTATGTTTGGCATGTCCTCTTTTTCCACTCTATTCCTCTTAGTCATGTTGATGTAACTCTTAAGATGAAGAACAATTGGATCTTTGATGGCTGATTAGATAAGAAATATTATGGAGGCATGTTGGCTTTTATATATAAGAATTTATATCCTTTCATTTTGCACCATTAAAATTATCTCTTTAACAACCTTTGATAAAATGAAATATAATACATGTTGAATTCAATGTTGTTATTAACTAGTTCATATATATATTATATAATTTCATTTAATTAAAAATTACTCAAAAATATATGCGTTTTAATTATTAGATAATATATTTATAAAACTTAATGATGTGAAATTTGTCAAAAATAATGATTAACATATAATATAATAATCTTTAACTATTAGATTAATTAAATTATATTTTATACAAATTTATTAAAAATTTAATGCAGCTAAATCTTATGCATAATATAATGGGATTGTATATATCACTCCAAAATATTTGTCAAGAGTCCAATAACTAAAATTTATATATTACAAGACCTTTGACTTTTGTTTTAATGAATAAAATTTGATCCTTATCGTACTTATTTCAAGTCAAAGAAGGAACTCTTTAGCAGTGAAATGTAAAAGAGAAAATCATGTAAGAATATAAGTAAACCCACCTTTAATTCTTGAATTTGTAAAACATTGTAGTAATAGTTTTGGAATTTAAATTTTTTTATAGGAAATTAAAATAATAATGATTTCAATTTTAGAAAATTATTTTATATTTTTATAACTCTACAAACTCTTATGAGAATGTTTGAAAGGTTCAAAGATTAAAATAAAATCAATTAAAGGTTTACTCACCTCTAACTTAGTTTCCCGCTCTAATTTTCATTACATGTAATTGGGAGGTCATGAGTGGTGACCTTTGATATTTTGGTGGTCTAACATCTCATTAATTTCATTTTTAATTACATGTTGTTGAGTTTATGAGTTGTCATTACTGCTAGCTTTTCCTTATCAACATTTCATTAATGAATTTGAAATTTTATTAAACATATAATAAAACTTAAATATATTTTATAAATAATATAATTATTACTTTAAAACTATAAAAACTGATATTAGTTGATAAGACAAACTAGTCAACATTACATTTGTAACATCTATATTAGCATCAAACATTACAACTATATCCAACATTCTTAATATATATATATAT